GGACAGCTACCATTCCCAGTATCAAGTGACATCAGATTTATGCTTTTGGCTTTTGTTAGCCGTCACACAAAACCCATTGCTGAAAATAGAAGACAAATGTAGTGTTAAGAAATGATGAAAAAAACTAAATATATAACACTACAATCTCATTTCGACTTTATTCCTATCCATTTCCTGAACTGCTGTTACTGACAACATAGCCTACATTTTTTTTTTTCAAAACTGCCTCACTAGCCATTAGTTTCCTGTCCAAGTTCTTCTTTTCATTCCTACCTTATATATATATTTTATACTGCCTTTTATATTGTTTTGTGAATATTATGATACATCTTGTAACTCTCAAGTCTGCTTTTTAAGAGGCTGGACAAAACCCAATGAAATATAAGAAGAGTTGTCCTTAAGAGTTGTCCTTATGTCCTTCATATATATATATATATATATATATATATATTATATATATGTATATATAAACAGCTATACTTGCTGGTTACTAGAAGAAGAAAACCTAAAACAGCTTTTAGAAAAGCATATCATATTGTTTATCTAGATAGATTTGAGAAATTAAATTTACACAGCTTTATCCATGTTAGTTGTGTGTGAGGTTTCCACATCTCATTTTCTGATTCACCTCTTCTGAAAAAGTTGTATCTCTGCTCATCAGTAAATCATTTGACAGCACTCAATAGTGGCACAAGTAATAATTTACATTTTTGTAATGGGACTTTCAACATCAAGAAAACTTAAATTTCACATCACAGCTGCATCAGTAGTTCAGTAGTGGTTACAGTGGGGAACAAGTAGATCGTCGCAACCACTGTTTGTCTGAATGCTGTCCATCATCGTTTACTGAAGTTCTCCACTGAGACTGCACTGAGGGTAAGCCCCAGGCACAGTGGAATATATGATGAATATGTGTTGCAGTCTACTTTCTTCTCCTGATGTCTTTCCATAACTGGATGTCCTGAATCAGACATTTTAATGAGCTTACTTAACAAAATTGATTTTAGGGAACATACCTTTTAGGGAATATACCTTTGTCAACCCTTTTTCAATTGATTGCAGAAGATTTACACATCAGAGATCTTGGCTTTAACACAGTGTTTAGGGTCTTTTCAGAAAGAGTCTAATTAAAGATAATCCAATCCAATCTATAAGCAGTTACACTATGTGTTTTGCTTGACGCACATGCTCAAGAGCTAGGCAAGCGTGATTTTATTCGGGCATAAGAAAGATTGTATCAGCCTAGATTGATAACACACTTAGAAAATTTGTTTTCGATCTTCAAAAGATAAAAAGATAAATCAAATCATACAATCATAGAATACTTAAGATTGGAAGGGACCTCTAGAGGTTATCTAGTCCAATCCCCCTGCACACACAGGGTCACCTAGAGCATGGGGCACAGGACTGCATCCAAGCGGGTTTTGAAGATCTCCAGAGAAGGAGACTCCACAACCTCTCTGGGCAGCCTGTTCCAGTGCTCTGTCACCCTCACTGTTAAGAAATTTTTCCTTAAGTTCCTATGGAATTTTTGGTGTTTCAGTTTCCGGCCATTTCCTCTAGTCCTATCAGTGGCCACCACTGAAAAGAGACCATCCCCGTCCTCTGCACTCCCTCCCTTGAGGTATTTATATACACTGATTAGATCCCCTCTCAGCCTTCTCTTCTCCAGGCTGAACAGGCCCAGCTCCCTCAGCCTCTCCTCATAGGGCAGATGTTCCTGGCCCCTGATCATCCTTGTGGCCCTGCACTGGACCCTTTCCAGCAGCTCCACATCCCTCTTGTCCTGTGGCGCCCAGAACTGGACACAGTACTCCAGATGCGGCCTCACCAGGGCTGAGTAGAGGGGCAGGATCACCTCCCTCGACCTGCTAGAGATGCTCTTCTTAATGCAGCCCAGGATTCCATTGGCCTTTTTGGCCACGAGGGCACACTGCTGCCTCATGGTCAACTTGTCGTCCACCATGACACCCAGGTCTTTCTCTGCAGAGCTGCTCTCCACAAGGTCGGTCCCCAGCCTGTACTGGTGTCTGGGGTTATTCCTCCCCAGGTGCAGGACCTTGCACTTGGCCTTGTTGAATTTCATGAGGTTTTTCACCGCCCAGTTGTCCAGTCTGTCCAGGTCCCTCTGGATGGCAGCGCAGCCCTCTGGGGTATCAGCTACTCCTCCCAGTTTGGTATCATCAGCAAACTTGCTGAGGGAGCACTCTGTGCCTTCATCCAGGTCACTGATGAATAATTTGAACAGGACTGAAACAAGTACTGACCCCTGGGGGACACCACTAGCTACAGGCCTCCAACTAGACTCTGCATCACACATCACCACCCTCTGAGCTCACGAAGACATACAAACTCATTAATCAATTAAATCAACATATACAGGAAATGCAAACAATTTAAGCATTTCTGAAAACATAGTGCTATTATCACATGCACATGCTTCTACCCTCCCAAAAGACCAAACATAATAAGCTGAAATGGCAGTCATGAATTATATTTAACATTGGAACAATGTATTTCAGACTACAAAGTAAAATGAAAAGGGAGGGAAATCTGAGCAATTTCTTTAAATCTCCTAAAAATATTTAGGAACGTTTCCAAGGTAAGAAGCTATTGTCAGCCTGGTC